CCGTGGGCGCCTTATTGTCCTCCAACTCCACCTGCTCGTCCATGACTTCGACTTGTGGGTTAGGACCACTTTCCGCCATCTCCAGCTCTGCTGAGGTATCCAAGGGGCTCTTGGCGGTGGAAGTGGTGTTGCTGCCGAGGACAGTGTCCACCTCCTTGTAGAAGTGGCTGGTCTTCAGCGCAGCACTGGAGCAACGGTTCGCCTCCCTTGCCTTCTGGAATGCTTGTCTCAGCTCCTTTATCTTCGCTCCGTACCATAGGCGCCAACTCCAAGGGTGCTCCAGGGTTGGAGCATCCATTGAAAAAAAATAGTGGGTGCTCAGCACCCACCAGCTACAGCTGATCAGCGGCCACTGCTGAACAGCTGTTTGGCGGCTCAGGGAGAGTGTAGAGCAGTGAGTGGGCAGGGGCCTTGGGGAAGTGGGGCAGGAAGAGGCGGAGCAAGGCAGGGCCTTGGGGAAGGGGTGGAGTAGAGGCAAGGCCTCGGGCTGAAGTAGTGTTGGAGCACCCCTGGGGAAAACTAAAAGTCGGCACCTATGCTCTGTACAGCACCCTGTCCCGGTCATAGCCCTTTTCACATAAGCTATGAGAAATCTGCCCGTAGTAGGTATCGAAATTCCTACGGCTGGTGCACAGCTGGGACTGGACAGCCTCCTTTCCCCATATACTCAGCAGACCCAGCAACTTAGTTGTGCTCCAAGTGGGAGAGCGTTTGCTATGTGGAGGCACCATGATCAGCTGGGAAGATGCGTTGTGAGCTCTCCATACCAAGCAAACAGGAAGTGGAATTTCAAAAATTCCCAGGGCCTTTAAAGAGGGACAGACAGATGCTTGTGACGGAGTCCCACGGGAGCCACACTGAGGTTACTCAATTAGGGCAAACCCCAAAGCTGGTGGATATTCCGATACTTAGATTTAGAAAGCCAGCATAAAACAACATCTTCAATATCTTATTGGTTGCACAGAAGCCAATAAACAGTTCCCTTATAGTAACCCAGCCTTAGGCTTCCACCCAGACACCCAAGTCAAATATGAAAGTTCTACCAATCCCAAAGGGTCGGACACATCACCTCCCAAGTAAATGAATATTTCAGATCTTACCTAAATACACACTTACAGCCGATCCTTATTAACTAAACTAAAATTTATTAAAAAAGAGAGAGTATTGGTTAAAAGATCAGTATACATTACAGACATGAGTACAGTTCTGAGATCAGTTTCATAGTAGAGATGGTGAGCTTTGGAGTTACAAAAAGTTCTTAGAATTAGTCCATAGATTCAATCCAATGTTCATACGCAGGGTGATTGAGGTGGGACTGGAGATCTCAGTCTTCCGACTTAAGCTTCTCTTGCATAAAGTATCAAGCAGATCTGAGATAAAAAGGATCAGGACCCAATGGTTTTGTATACAGTTCCAGGCCTTCTCTTGACAGCTCGGAGTCCTTAGGTGAACAATAGGCAATCATCGAGACTTTGAAGTAGACCTGTTTCCAAAGCACCACCAGTAATTAGCTACATGGATTAACATAAGACAATTGCCTGTTTTCCACCATTCGTAGGTGATTTGCTATACATTCAAAGAGAGATCAATACAGTGATCATTTAAATGTTAAGAACTTCTTTTGATCTCTGAATTAACAGGATACAGCATAGGCAGAAACTGTTTGGTTACACTATTAACCTCTAACAATATATATGTAATCACACAAAACCACAAACATTAGCTACCAATATGTCCCTAAAGGTTGAATTTGGTCATTTATCCTGCAGGATGTTTAACTAGCATTCCCAGGTGTCTGGTTTCCGACTGGCATGCCCAGTCAAAAAGGGACCCTGGTAGCTCCAGTCAGCACTGCTGACCGTGTCGTTAAAAGTCCAGTTGGTGGGGCTGGCAGGCTTCCTACCTGGCTTCGCACAGCTCTCTGGAAGCAGCGACATGTCCCTCGGCTCCTAGGTGGAGGTGCACCCAGGGGGGCTCCATGCGCTGCCCCTGCCTCGAGTGCCAGCTCTACAGCTCCCATTGGCCGGGAACTGCAACCAATGGGAGCAGTGGGGGCGGTGCCTGTGAGCGGAGGCAGTGCTCAGAGTCGCCTGGCTGCGCCTCTTTCTAGGAGCCAAGGGCCATGTTGCCACTTCTGGGGAGCCCCCCCCAAGGCAAGCGCCGGCCAGAGCCTGCATCCCGCACCCTCTTCCACACCCCAACTCTCTGCCCTAGCCTGGAGCCAGGTGAACCCCTCATTTATGGACCCACCCCAGAGTCCATACCCCCAGCCCAGAGCCCATACCTCCTCCCACACCCCAACCTCCTGTCTCAGCCCAGAGTCGCCTCCCACACTCTGAATCCCTCAGCTCCACCTTGCAGCCCGGAGCCCCCTCCTCCACCCCAAACTCCTCATTTCTGGCCCCACCCTGGAGCGCACACTCCCAGGTGGAGCCTTCACTCCCTCCCACACCCCAACTCCCTGCCCTAGCCTGGTGAAAATGAGTGAGTGAGTGAGGGTGGGGGAGAGCGAGTGACAGAGGGAGGGGGGATGGAGTGAGCGGGGCCTCAGAGAAGGGGCGGGGCAGGGGGGGGCCAGGGTGTTTGGTTTTGTGCAATTAGAAAGTTTGCAACCCTATGCTTAACCCTTTCTGGCCATATGTCACACCTGGCTGCAGGGGAGTTTGAACTACTAACCAGGATGGGCATTGTGGGACACCTCCTGGAGGCCATTTATGGTGACAAAACCAAGCCCGGTATCTACACTGACACTTTGTCGATAAATCTTTGCCATAAATAGCCCTATGTTGCTCATTGAGGTGATTTTATTTTGTTGCCAAAACAGGAGAGTTTTGTTGCCAAAAGTTGCGTTGTAGTGTGTTCACCGTCACTGTTTTGTTGAGTAAAGCTGCCTTTTGTTGACAAAACTCTGTAGTGTAGTCAATGCCTTAGAGATTACTTTCTCCCCTTTGCTTTGTCTGAGTTACTGTGCTAACATTCTGGCTGTACCAGTTTCTGCATTCATTTCTTTAATGCATTGCTCTGCTCATTTTCTATGTTTAAAATATTTAAGTAACAATTGTTTAAGAAATGTGTAGGGACAAAACTATAATGTGCATCCAGTAATAAGTTGAATTGGTAAGTCATAGTCCTTGTCTACACTTCTGAGAGTTTGCCACTATAGCTATACCATCAACCCCCTCTAGTGGAGAGTTCTGTTGCTGGTACTGTATAGTTTATGCCGTTCCTTGAACAAAATAAGCGATACCCGCCCAAAAGTTCTTTTGTACTGCTATAACTGCATCTGTGCTCTGGCTTTCTGCCAATATTAAAATGTCAAAGAAGCACAACCCCTAACTGACGTTATACCGTCACAGGTTTTAGTGTAGACCTAGCTGTACATACTTTCATAAAATACCTCTACTGTGTTTCCTATGTGCTTTGGATAGAATTCAACCTGCTTTATGTACATCAAAATACCCGTGAAAGACTTTGAACTGGCAAATAGATGGCAAAAGTGTCAGAAATAGGTCATTTTTGTTTGGTGCCTCAGCTGAGTCCCAGGAGGGACTGTGAATCTCAGTGGGGACTGCATAGGTGCTGGAACTAGGGATGCTGGGGGTAGGGCAACACCACCTGGTTTGAAGTGGTTTCCATCATTTACAGGGTTTACAGTTTTGTTTAATGGCTTTCAGCATCCCCCGCTATAAAAATTGTTCCAGCACCTAAGGGGGATTATGAAGAGGAGAAAATGGGTGGAGGGTAGAGAAGAAGAGAGCAGGAAAAACTGGGAGAGAAGAGAGAAAGGTAAGTGAGAGAGAGGAGTGAATGGCAGGAAGAATGAATGAAACACCAATTTAAAAAAAGAGGAAAGAGAACACTGTAAAGTAAAAAGGAAGAAAATATAAATAAGGAGAAAGTGAAGGAGGGAAAGAATGAACTTGGCAAGGAAAGGAGAGAGGACAGCCCTGATTCTGATCTTATTTGCATCAGTTTTACACCAGCGTAAGGGCTTGTTTACAACTGGAGTTACTCAGGCCTAACTGTACTCAGGAATAAGAGTGGCCATACCTGGAGTTATTCAGGAGTAGCGATTGCCCTTTAAATTCACACCCCACCATTCCCCCTTCACTTGCAGCTGCAGACAAGCTCTACTGACTCCCCTGAGCTCGGTGGAGTTCCTCGCTTTACCCCCCTGGGCTGGCGAAGAGAGGAGGCGGCCCGGGGAGAGTGGGGAAGGAAAGGGGGGCACGCTGGAGCAGGAGTGCGAGCAATGGCAGGAGTTAATGGCAGGGAAGAGGCAAAGAGGACGGAACGGTAGGTTGAGGTAAAAGCCGAGGAGGGCGCGTGTGTGCAGGCGGGACTCGGGAGCTGAAGGGAGAGGCGCGAGTGAGCAGGGCGGGGTGGAGCCCGCTGCGGCCCCCGCAGACCGGAGTGCTGGTTGCGCACAGAGCTCCGGCTCGGACTCGGCAGCGGCGTTTCGCTTCTCACCTCTCCCGCCCGGGCTTTGCAGCCAGCCAGAAGCTGCTGCCACAGCAGAGCCTCGGCGAGCGGCCGGGAGACGCCCCCGTGGAGAGAGCCCAGCGTCCCCGCAGAGGCGGGGTGGGGGGAGCCCCGGAGTCCAGCCAGGATGCGAGAGGAGTAGAGGGGGGCTGGGCCGGGGCAGCCCAGAAGGACTGTGCAGGTGCAGCCGGTGGCTGCGGTGCTTGTTCCCGAGGAGGAGGGGGCAGCAGCAAGCTGATTTCCCCCCACACGCATACACGCCGTGTGGCCAGAGGATGGGAGCCAAGTTGGAGCTGCGGCTTCTCCTCGCCAGGAGCCGGCTGCTGGGCTGAAGCCGCGGTCTGCGGGGCTCATGCTCGCGTGCATGTAGGTGAAGGGGCGCTGCCCCCGCCCGCCTTTCCCCGCCCTCCCGAGCCTGAACTCCTGCCGGCTCGCCCCAGCCGGGGAAAGTTGGGACGACGAGGGAGGGGAGAGCGGGGCGGTTGGCGGAGTGCAATGCCAGGCGGAGAAGGGGAGGGCTGGCTCTGAACTCCCAGGCACCGAGGCAGAGAGGTGGCTGCTGCTCCCGGGGTTGGAGAGGGGCTTAGCAAAGGTAGGTTGTGCTGGGATAGTCTGATGCTCGTCAGCCCCCACTGTCTGCCTTCCATGGGAAAGTTTGAGCAGCCCCCTAGGTGGGGAGGGTGAATGCAGAACAGTTGTCTTGCAATTGTTTATCTCCTGCTCCATCTCTTCTCGGTTTCCCAGACACAGAGGTGGCTTTCTGCTATTCACTGACTTAGACATTATCTTGCCTTCCACAATAGCTACAGGAACCCCCAGAAACCAGGGTGTGTGTGTGTGGGAGGGATCAATTTTTCTTCTTATTTTTTAACCTTCTAGGTCAATAAGAAACTGTATAGAAAGCAGACAGCAAAGTGGGATGTATGATATGCCTGCCCTAGTCTGTTTCTTCAGCCAGAACTGCATGTGAGATAGGCTAAGAGGTGCATTTATTCTAGGGCTATTCATATTCTGGAAATGTGGTGGTGGTGATGGTGGGTTTTTTTCCCAAAGGTCTTTGTGCAAAGGTAGCTCAAATGTTAATTTATACAGAAAGTTGGAAGACAATTGTAAAGGCTATTTATGTTTACCCAGTGTCTCACATTTTTTGTCCACCACATACAATTTTAATATATGATATTTTTAATCAATAGCTGGGGTAGTTATGTTTTGTTAAACTCTGCTAAACATTAGGTTTAAATAAATCTCTGCTATAGAGTCCTAAACTATTTTGCTTTGCTGTTGTAAAGCAGAGGAAGAAACAGGCAGCATATGCATACTGCAGGAAATTGCAAAGAGATCTATTTAGGTTCTGCTGGCTTTAATAACATGCTTGTACTTAATTTTTTTTAAATCATGCTCACTAGCAGTTATTTTAAAACAACTCTTATCAGATTGAATAAAAGATTAATGAAAATCATCATGCATGAAGTCAGGAAATGGAAGTGAATGGTTGATGTTTGTTCTGGAGTCTGCTGTGATTTAAGGAGCTTCATTTGATTCTAGGTACATCCACTTTACAGCAGTCTTTTTGTTTAAAAACTGATTTATGCCAGCTCTTATTAATTATACCTCACCAAGTTTGTACAGCATTTTTAAGGATGTAAGAAGACGGTCCCTGTCCCAAAGAACTTGCAATCTATAAAACAACATACAGGCAAAGTGTGGGGAGGAGGGATGCAGCACAAGAACTTTGTTTGTCTTTTGTATAAATTATCAAACAAAGTTGCATGTTGTTTGAGATGTGGCATTGGTACAAATGCACGGTGAAAAACGTGTGAGCTGAAGTATTTCTAATTGTTCTCTTCCTAGGGACTGTGGATTTACTTAGTGATTCCCTCTGATGTGAATGCAGCATCTCTTGTCCCTCTGGGATGCCGTAGGTGATGCCCAGCTCTACTGCAATGGCAATTGGCGCTCTCTCTAGTTCTCTTCTTGTAACCTGCTGTCTCATGGTTGCTCTCTGTAGCTCCACCATACCTGTGCAAAAACTGGCCAAGGCTCCAGACAAACAGGAGATAAAAACAAGTCAGGAAAAGAGGGATCATACATCAACCAGGCCAGACAGTCAGAGTCAGACAGGCCCAGGGAAAATGAATGAACTTGGAAGGAATGGGCGGGAAGAGGGCACCAGAGATTGGAAGAGCAAAGGAAACAGAAATTATTCAAACAAAGAATCTTGGACTAGGCAAAAACAGGTTTGGAATAGTCAAGGAACAAGCAGTAAATCTGGGAACATTCAAGCACAGGAGCAAAGGGATGGTGTTCCAGAGGAACCTCAGGCGGCTGAAGAACCATCCCTCCCAGAAGTTGTTGCTAGTACTACTCCTGAGCCTCCGGAGGAGTATGCCTATCCAGATTACCGTGGGAAAGGCTGTGTGGATGAGAGTGGCTTCGTTTATGCTATTGGGGAGAAGTTTACTCCAGGTCCCTCTGCTTGCCCCTGTCTTTGCACTGATGAGGGACCTCTGTGCATTCAACCTGAGTGCCCAAGACTCCATCCACGGTGTATTCATGTAGACACCAGTCAGTGCTGCCCACAGTGCAAAGAGAGGAAGAACTACTGTGAGTTCAGAGGAAAGACCTACCAGACACTAGAAGAATTCATGGTAAGGGCTTTTTTATTTAAAAAAAAAAGATTAAAAAAAATGGTGAGGGTTGTTCTGTGATCTTATGTTCTTGAAATGGTTTCTTAGAGAGGGGTTTTTTTTCTTTCTTGTTAATATTGCACCTGCAGCAGTGTATAATTTTCCTTTTAAACATGACCTTTCCAGTTCAGTGAAACCATAACATTTTAAAAATAAGGGAGCTGATCTTTATTAATTCCTTTTGTATTTATAGTGTAAAAAAAATCACAACGAAGCCATTCAGTATTAATATGTATGTGCCCTGAGAGTTTCCACAGGATTTCCATGGCATTTTCAGCATTACATTTACTGTTCCCTTATTTTACAATGCTAACCATAAAACTTATCCTTTGTGAAACCTATTTGCCATTTGGGGCTGATTTCCATTGTTAATAGCCAGTTAGTGACAGTAATGCATCCTTTAATCCATCTCTTTTTTTTTTTTTTTTTTTGTATGCTCAAACTGGGATGTCACAGTTACATAATAATTTTCTGTGGGTATGATTATGGACCTTGGTGTATTAATCAGAGTATGGTTCAGAGGACAGATTATGGCAGTATTTAAATAGTCAATTTTTCTATCTAGTGGAATACTTTTATAGTGAAGCTTTTTTTTTTATTTTTAAACAGGAAACTTCACAATGGTGGAGGTTCATTATCATTGCAAATGCATCTTGTGTATTGAAACAGTGTTGGACTTATGGCCTGATCATACAGTTACTTCCCCCCGCCCCTTATAAATTGATTTTCATTATAGCTGAGTTCTGTAAACAGGTACTGTTGTGCATGCACATTTGGGAGTGTGCATCTGCTAGATGGGGGGCCTGAGCCAAAACCCAGATCTGAATGCTCCTGAACTTTTGGGAGTTGGGGATAATAAAGGGAGTTAGAAATCCAGCCCAGAATTTTGCAGTTCATGCCTGTCTCTTATATATATATTTGAGAGAGAAAATTAATCTTTATGAAGGTTATAAATACACTGCTTGTCTCTTCTTTGGTGTCATCTGTGGTATTTGTGTAATCTTAGGAACTTATTTTTCTTTTGAATGCCTTTCCATATTTTTTCACCTTCTAAAAAAGCCAGAGAACGATTCTGATTTATTCTCTGAACAGAGCACTTTCTCCCTGCCATCTCTAGATGGCTATGCTCAGAACACTAGCACCGATCAAGGCATATGCCAGCAAACAGTAGGCTCATCTCCTCTCCTCCCTCCCTAAGGTCTTGAGTCTTGGCACAGCAATTTATTCCGTTCAAAGGTGAAGAAATAATTTAAAATATGGGTGGTCCTTTTATGGCCAGGTTCTGAAATCCTTACTGTTTCAGCACAGTACATTCAGAAGCAATGTCAAAATAATGTGCTTCCCTGCATATGTTGTCTCCAGGTTTCAACAGCTTAGTGTTAGAATTTTAATGTGTTCCTCATCCACAGCTTTCCAACCCCATCTATGTCTTCCTTTAATGTAAGAATCTTGCATTACTGACTGTAGAGTAGCCTTAAAATGCAGTTAGGTTACTTCATTAAGTTCTGCGTGTGGTGGAAGAATAAAACCCATGGGCTCACTGCTGTCACACAACAATCATGCCTGATAGCTTTGGAAGTGTAATACTGGACAGTGCCCATAGATCTTTTTCAGAACTATATTTCTTCTGTGTTTTCAGCTTTGTTTTACCCCATTCTGACTCTGGCAGTTCTAATGAAACCTTCCCATAATACAGTGCCATTTTTCAATTATTCGTGCTCTCTGTTAGGATAAGTAATAAGTAGGATGAGTAAGGATATGCGTGTGTTCAGGGTGGCTAAGGAAAATCACTAAAGCTATACAGCATTTTAATTGCAGCCTATATGTTTTATCATACTGACACTGCATAGCTGAGCCTCCACTCAGCCTATAATATCATAGGTGCAAAACAGTAGGCACAGTTATTTTCATATACCATTGCAATTGATTAAGATTGAAGGGAAGTAACTTACATGTGCAATCAGATCACCACTAAATGCATGCACAATTGCCGATGGAAATAACTGCACCCAGTATTGGAATCCATTTTTATAACTGTAGTCACAACTGTCTTGTGGATGTTAAGTACAGCACTCTCTACCATTTGATTTAGGTCAAGGAAGTATTTGTAAACAGGTAAGTCTATTCTCTCTGTATGCATATGTTCCATTAATGGGAATGAGTCACATATTCTGATGAAGAAAAACATATTGACTCCTTAAATGATTACATGAATTATGTGTATATATAAAAATGTGTATGCAGATTCACATATATGCATACACAAACGTGTGTGTGCATGTATATATTGTATATAAATGGAGTTTGACATAAGTTTTTATTTAAAAAGAAAAAAAGGGAAAAAAAAAAAAAAAAAAAACCCTCTCCCCAAGCCATGGTAAAATCTGCTCCTGTGAAACTAGGAGTGGAGGGAGATACATCAATCTCTGCATACAGACTTTGCTTATATTTGTGTGTGTGGTAGTATCTGTTATATACTAGTGTTAGGAAGGAAAATAAATTTTATTGCAAACCAAAACTGGAAAAAACAAAACCCCAAAACTCAGAAGCCTAATAAAGATGTCTTCATCTACCTCTTGCAGTATAGCTTTTTGTGGGGCCATGCTGCAGTATGGCAAGTGTTTCAGCTTAGAGAGAACTTTTAATGGGATTGGGAGCAAAAGTACCTTACAAAAGAACATAGTTTCCCAACTGTGATTAAAATGGAAATCCTCAATGAAGATAGAATCGTATTGGAATCTCTCTTTATTATTTGTATTCAAATTTTAAAGAAGCATTCCTGTGATCATTACTGGGCTTTGTTACTCAGAGGCAAATTGGATACTTTGCTGTCACAGATTTTGCTTTGTTTATCACAACTTCTGTCCTGTCAAAGAACTTAATTTATGAACAACTCGCTTGAAATTCTTGAAGACGACAAATCCAGATGGATTTCAAAGCATTTGTGGTGCTTTGAAGGCACAGAGAAATATAAAGAAGACTGATATATTAATGCTTGTCAGCCTAACCGTGTTCATGATCTCTTGGGGAGTATAACTGGAATGAAAATGTTACTAGAAATATCAACCCAAGAGTAAATGGATATAGTTTTATGGATTTTATTTATTTATTTATTTTACTTAGAGTTTTCAGAGATGTAAGGAACGAAATATAGACTTCTGGATTTTTTTTCTTTGAGTTATTTAATCCCTGTCTTGGTTAAAGTACAAATAGAGAACTTCCACTTTCTGTAAGCCAGGTGGGTTTTTTTCCCCAAAGGCCAGAAAAAAATTGCCTAAAACAAAGTACTTTGGTATGCATGCTGGGCCAGATCCTCAACTTGTGTTAATTGACATAGCTCCACTGACTTCAACTGATCTATGACATTAAAGAGCTGTGGATCTGGCTTGCTGCCTGTATTATGCTAGAATTTTTCTTGCTCTTCTATTGGGGAACCCTTAACTGATCCACTTGTTTGCATACTTATGTATGCAAACTTTTCTACTACATCTGTAGCGCCACAGAAAAACATTTATACACTTGTTCATAATCTTCCTTTAAACCCTCAAGAAGACAACTTCTTGCGATTTCCTATAGGTTTTATGGCTGCCTGGAAAATTAGGTCAGATTTATCTGCTTCTTATTGGTTCTTCTCTGTTAGCATAGGAAGATCTGCTGTTGTGATATAGTTAATACTTAGAACTTATGTAGTATTCTTCATTCCTAACTCTGAAATTGCTTTACGATTAACTGCATGATCTGTTAGATTGTGGAATAGTGTCCCAAAAGAATTGGTGGCAGCCCCATCGCATCAGCCATTAGAACCTATGCTGAAGTAAGAGTTCATCCGTTAGAGGGGAGAGGAAAATGGAAGCGGCACAAATGGGCCTTCTCCAATTCTGACTTATGATTCCCTGCCAATTACATGGTGTCATACCAAGGCATTTCCTTGCTAGACTATCTCTTATACATTGATCCTTATTAATATTACTTTTTTGGCCTCTTTCAGGCATTGGCTTTCTATAGTTTTAACCACATCTTGCCTAAATTGAAAAAAGAAGCAGCAACATTTGGTCCAAAGATATGCAAATAAGGGCTCCCTGGGCATTTCTATAAGGGACAGAGCTAATGCTGCTTTAACAACTATTCTGCTTCACTTCTACTGAAAATGTACTTGACTCCTACTCTTGAAAATATTACAAAACAGAATAGAAAGAAATACTTATGTGCTCATTTTACTGCGTTCTTAAAGGACTACATTGTACAACTCTTTTATTCATGTTGGAGAGCTTGTATGAGTAAGAGTTATCCCATAGACTACAACAGACTCTGCAAGTGCTCACCAACGTGAATGTTTGCCCAATGAAGGCCAAAGTGAAGAAACTGTTGTGGCTGGAAAAACAGGATGCCTTAGCATCAGATTCTTATCCTGGTTACACTGTGTAAGTGTGGAGATACTACACTGAGGTCAGTGGATTTCCTCCAGATTTACATTTGGTGTAACTGAAATGAGAATTTGTCTCTGTACTAAATCTCTTCCTGATCACCAAAGTGCAAGGTGCTTCTAATTAGCAAGTTGCAGTGAAATGTGTACCATAGATCACATTGTAGATGTAGGAAATATATGTGGTGGTGTATCCAGGGAAGAATATACATCTCATCCGAGGAAAAAAACGGGGAAAAAAACAGAACAAAACAATGTCTGATGGATGACAGTGCTTATTAAAGGATCATTGTAAATATTTCTTTGCAATAACCTGCTATATATTACATGCAAAAAAGTGTTCATGACCTACTACTTGGACATCTGTTTATCTAGAGCGTTTGGTTTCTGAAAGGTATGATCTTCAAAAGCACATTATATTTGAGGGAAATACATCTTTATGAACACCTTACATGTGTTCAGACTTTAAATCAGGATTGTTTCTTTCCACAGTGCCGTTAATATTTTGTTAAATGGCTTCATGTTCTGGGCAGTCTATGCTTTGTTGAAGGCAAATGGTTCTGTCAAAGTTGAAATTCCAGTAAATAAGCTGCTGAATTAAAAGATGTTTTAATTTTATAAGTCTGAATAAATGTTCTTCCTAACATATCTTTTTTTCAATCTTGATTGCTGCTTCATTGCATCAGATACAAGGATATAAAAAGTGATATAAAAGCTGGCTGTACCATAGTATATGGAATACTTAAATGAGTATACCCTCTTCTTGCTGTTGATCTTGTCAAGCTGTCAGAGAGAACAGGGCTAAATTCACCACTTATTTAAATGTACCCAAATATTGTGAAGTCTATGGAATTGTGCCAACTTAGACTCTTGGTGAATTTAACCCGAAGACTTGATTTCTTGATGAAGTTTTATCTAAGATCTTAAAAGCAAACCATATATTTTGTATCTTAGCATGTAAAGTGGGAGAGAGATCTCCAGATAAAAATAACTACAGAAGAATGGTTTCTCAGTAGTGACCTGTAAGCTTCAAAATATTCAGAATTCAGGTTTCACTTGGATAAACACCCATAATTTCAGATGCTCATCCAGAGTTTGTCAAATACCTGAATCTCTTGATTCTATACATTGGTCTGGAAATAGCCTCTTCCTCTTCTGCTATAGCTAGGGCCCTACCATATTCACAGCCATGAAAAACGCGTTCCCCCGCCCCCCCATGAAATCTGGTCTTTTGTGTGCTTTTACCCTATACTATACAGATTTCACAGGGGGAGCCCAGTGTTTCTCAAATTGGGGGGGTCCTGACCCAAAAGGGAGTTGTGTGGGGGGGGGAAGGTTGCAAGGTTATTTTGGGGGGGGGGTGTCATGGTATTGCTACCCTTACTTCTGCGCTGCCTTCAGAGCTGGGCGGCCGGAGAGAGGCCACTGCTGACTGAGGGTCCAGCTCTGCAGGCATCAGTGCAGAAGTAAAGGTGGCAATATGATACCATGCTATCCTTACTTCTGCGCTGCTGCTGGCAGTGGCTCTGCCTTCAGAGCTGGGCTCCCAGCCAGCAGCAGCCGCCCCTCTCCAGCTGCCCAGCTCTGAAGGCAGCATCACCACAAGCAGCAGCACAGAAATAAGGATAGCAGTACCACAACCCTCACCACAATAACCTTGCAACCTGCCCCCCAACTCCTTTTTGGGTCAGAACCCCTACAATTACAACACTCTGAAATTTCAGATTTAAATAGCTGAAGTCATGAAATTTACTATTTTTAAAATCCTATTACTGTGAAATTGACCAAAATGGACCATGAATTTGGTAGGGCCCTAGCTATAGTGCCATAGATGTGCATGGCACTTTATAAACAATTTGAAGGCAGAGGCCTTGCCCCAAAGAGCTTATAACAAAGACGTGCATTATGTGGCTTTGTTGTGCATTTTGTAGCTACAGGATTTTTTTAAGCTATAGTATATTTTATAGGGAAGAGCACTAGAAGAGGACGGCTAGCTGTGGAAGTCTAACGGAACCAAATTAAATGTAAGGGAGGAGGGCAAAGTGGAGAGAGAGAGCATGAAAAGAGGGTCTGACACATGAGCAAAAAGAGAGGAAGAGGTTAGTGAATGGAGAAATTGGTGGCAGAGCATAGAACATAGGTGTATAGGAGGAGACAAGGGCATTGATGTAACCATGGGTAGCACTGTACCGAGATTTGAAAGTGAGGAAGAGGAGAGAGAGAAGCAGAAAATGTGGAGGGATTCAGGCAGAAGTAGCAGTGAGTATGGAAGATAACTTTGGATATGACCGGTTGAATAAGAAGTAGGGAAGCAAGGGAGAAGGATGTTTCTGTAGTCCAGATAAAAGAATGCTGACACAAATGAGAGTTGAGGTAGAGTGGAAGGTCTGGCTCTTGGGGATTTTTAGTGGAGTAAGTGAGAACCTTATTTGAGGGAGGAATCAAAGATGACCCCAAAGGTGCAAGCCTGAGTGATCCTCTAGTGAGCACAGACTTCCTTAAGATTTCTGGCAATTCCACTCTGAGTGTCGACAGAGATCCGGTGAGAACAGCCTGTCTGACAGTGTGTTGGTGCTTCTGTTTCACTGGAATCTGGAATTAAATGGCATGGAGAGAAGGAGGCAGAACCTTATGTGAGCACTTCAGAACCTCAAGTTCATTTCTAGAAATGTTGGGTGTGGAAGATGTCCAGGTCTTAAACATGGGGGAGGGGAGGATGTCACTGGAAACAGTGTTCTAACACATTTCCTTCCCTGAAATCTGCTGTGTGTACCAGTGCCATTTGGGGTACAGCAGTAGTAATCACACCCTCAACAGAGGGGAGAGACCAGCATTATGAAATGGCCCTTGTGCACCTGTGCCCCTCCCTGTTTTTTTTCTGAAGGGTTCAGGTGCACTTAAGAGACATGAGGATGAGGGGTATGTGTGTGTGTGGGGGGGGGGGGGGGGGGGAACAGGGCAAGGGAGCATTCTGTTAAATTGTGGGGGGTGTTTTACATATCCAGGAAATAAGAATCACATGCATATCCAACTGTTCCTAATTAGGGGCTTGCTCCTGCTCCATTTAAATCAATGCGAGTTTCCCCATTGACTTCGCTGGGAGTAGGGTCAAGCCCTAAGAGAAACAGTACTTTTGTTTCAGTAATTATCATTTTTCCACTGTTCCCTCTAAACCAATCATGTTTTGAAGAAGTTACAAAGCATGACCTTATTTTTATTCCTCTCAAAATCTTCCTACGTGTAAATTTCAAATATTGGTAGTTATAGAAAATACCAGTTGGTTTTTATTTTATTTTTTTTTTTCATTTTTTGGTCTGAATTTTCTGTGAAAAATATTGAGATTTTGATTTTTTTCATCAGAAAATGAAAAATTTAGTCATAAAGCCATTTTAAATCAAAATTACTTTTAGTATAATAAAAGACCAGCTCTAGACTATCCCCACATCAATCCTTGGAGCCAGGGGGAATGTCTTCCAACTATTACTTAATAGTCTCACATGACTCTCTTCCTCAGAACCTTTTGCTTTGCTCAATTTGGAGCAAAGATTCAGAGTAGTGCCTGGGGCTAGCATGGTTGCTGCCCTAAATTCAGACTGCAGCAGCCCTACTTTTGTCTGAATAACTGTGGAAGACAAGATGCATGTAAAAGAGACAGAGGCAAAGAAAGGCATTATGCTGCCTGGGAGAGAATATTGAATGGATGAATTAAAAAATGAATGGATTTGTGTTTCAGGTTTCCCCATGTGAGAGATGCCGTTGCGAAGCCAATGGTGAAGTGCTGTGCACAGTGTCTGCTTGTCCTCAGACTGAATGTGTGGATCCAGTGTATGAGCCAGATCAATGCTGCCCCATCTGCAAAAATGGTAGGTAACTAATGCAACATCCAGATGGTTTTCTTTCTCAGAGAGCTACCAGTTGCTCAAATTTCTTTGAATGAAAGTTGATTGTCCAAGCAAATGTGCAGAAATATAAGAAAGCTCTGTTGTGTTGAAGGGAATGTTTTCCTTGACCTGGATAGATTTTATAATGATCCACAAAGATTTTGTTGCCCGAGAATCATGTGTGGCATCAACACCAGTCTCTGGTTGTGTGTTCTGCATATGTTCATTGTGGATGTGACTTGTGTGCCATATCAAGTCTAGGCCCTTGATTCTTCCCAACTGTAATGCCCAGTGGCTGAGGCAGGTTAGGCAGCAGTCCTGAGTTCTAGTCAATGGTGCATGAGTGGTTGGGTAGCCAGCTGGTCAATCAGTATTGCAGGCAGTCCAGAGCAATGGTCTGAGTTTGCACAGGGGTCAGTAGCTGGCGGATCCAATCCAAGGGGCTGGGTCAGTTTGTTTAGGGAGGCAGGATCAGGCGAGACAGCAGGGCAACAAGATAGGGTCAGTAGGAACAGCAAGGCAGTCTAGGCAGCAGGCAACGGCCTGTTGCTCAGTCAGCTTCCTCTTCCAGTTGGGGCCTTTGTATAGTCCAGGCACCCAGTGAGAATGCTGCCTGTCCATCCAATCGGGGTCTGGGGTGTGGCTGCGGTAGGCTTGTAGCATTAGAGCTGTTGGTCAGGCGCAGCTCTTCAGCGCATCGTCTAAGGATGCTCCCTAAGGATTGGTGGCAGTATTGGGGTCCTGACACCAACTTTCCATTATTGAGAAGTAGAACTTACTTTTATTTTACCTTCATATTTCTTCCCTTGGAGAGAGGGTTTTTTTTTCCTCCTGAGGCAATCAAATGTACCTTTGTTGAGCTCATTTAATTTTCATAACTAAATGAATTAAACTTCCATGTTTAATTGAATATTCTTTGTAACTAAAGTAGGTAGAAAGTCTCTACTCCCAGCAAGGCTTGCATTAGATCAAAGTCTTGATCTATTTAGAAGAAGAAATTATGAGATACTCCAGTTCACCATTTATAAAAAAGAAATAACTTCTTATTAATAAAAATGAATACTGCAGTATCAAATGAAACTATATTTAAAATGAGAAAAGCATTTAAAATTATTCAGATAATTTTGCAGTCCTATGTTATTTCTGTATAATATATAGGGCCATTACATTAGCTAAAACAAACTAATGAAAACTGTGCAAAAGCTAGATGGAGAGAGACTATAGAACTCTCTTAAGTTACGTCTACACTGCACACTTCTTTTGGCACTGCTAAGAGTGCATAGACTGAATGCACCCCTAGCCTGGGTATAAATAGCAGTGTAGATGATGAGGCACTGCTTAGGTGAATAGCACAAAGATGCATCTGAACCTGTGGGTATGTACCCTACACGGCTCACTACTCACCCAAGCAGTGCCTCCCCATCTACGCTGCTAGTTTAAGCAGTGTGGTGTCCCACTGCTGAGTCTTTCCCTCCACCCAGAAAGATTCCATCCGCGGGGACTCTGGCAGCGGGGAAAGGCTCGAGGAGCTCCTTCCTAGGTGTTGACCACTGTCCAAGACAGGATACAGGACCTGAGTGTGTGACACATTAGTTTAGGAATGACGGGAGACACACCCATAGGGGTATTTGCTTTCAGTATCTGCTGTATTGTTTGTAGCTCCTAGCACAGACTGGTGGTGGCAGGGAGGAAGCCTGTCCCAGGGTAAGTCTACACAGCAGCTGGGAGATGTGATTCCCAGCGTGGATAGACATACACGCACTAGCTCCGCTATTTTTAATGCGTTAGCTCAAGCAGAGTGGCTGGAGTGGCACAGGCAGCGGCTCAGCATATGCCAGAGTATGTACCCAGAGAGTTGGGTGGGATCGATCTTGGATAGCTAGTCCAAGTGGCTGCCCGTGCCGCTTCAGGTACACTGCTATTTTTAGTGCACTAGCATGAGCAGAGGCAGCACACATGTGTCTCCCGAAGCTGGGAATCTCACTTCCCAGCTGCTGTGTAAATATACTCTCTGAGGGTTTGGGTTAGAAGAGCAATACACTACATACACATCATCCTTTCCAATGGATTTCCCAGGAGGCATTAACGCAGCTCTAAGCAGCAGTAAAACTCCCGCGTGATGATTTTTTTTTCCCCTCTGCACTACCGTTTTGTCTAAGTGGTGGGTACCTACCAACGATAGCTTGACTGTGAATGAGCCAGGAGGAGGAAGTGGGGCAGGATCTGGCTCTCTGAATGGATTCCCTGAGACCAGCAGATTTCCTGACACACTTTGTTAGAGGATTGAACACCCTGCCCCAAGAGAGCAGACCTGTGTACTCATAAGCCTCCCTCCCCTCAGAGAGGGTGGTGCTCAGAAAGTGCACATAAGGAACCAGGCTGAGTTTCTAACCGAGTTATCCCCTCCTGTAAGAAAGGGTGATGGGAGCCCTATCATCCTGAACACTGAATGTTTCTCTGTAATTGTAACCACATGTGCCTTGTATATTCTAGTGTAGAGACCGGCGACACTGACATAATTTCAGACAAAAATTGCTGGAGATGTTGGTTTCCAATGAGCTGTTCTGACATTAACAGAAGCAATCAGAAACTGAGAATATTTTTCCTTTTTAGGTTTTAGACAAGGAAAAATGCTATTAAACATAACAAAAACAAGACAGTTCGTGAGAAGCTTAGCTTTTCTGGTTCAGTGAAGAAGTTCATAAAGAAGCTCCTCTGTATGGAATTTGGTTTTAAAAATATCAGGGTCCTTGCTGTCAAAGCAGGGATGTAGCTGTTTAGGAGTATGGCACCTGCACGGTTTGAAATTGTTTGCCTTCGCAGGCAGAAAAGGAATATCGGTGAATGTTTTAAATTAACGTCTGGGCAAACTGATCAGCTAGGAAAGCTTACCCTGCCTCATCAGTCATATGCAAGCCTGGTGATACAAATTCACTGTGGATATGCATCACAATATTTCATTGCAAAGTTGCTCACAATATGATTGTCATCACATCACCTCGCTGACCCAGAAGACCCTAGCTGAGCACATGGGGAAGGCTATCCCTGCAACCTGGGAGGAGAGAGACCACCAGCTGAATGTGGAAGCAGCTATTATGGAGTACCCTACAGCCCAGAAGGCCATAGAGGAGCGAGCAGGCTACTTTCACACAACCCTCTCCATAAGAGACTTGTGCTCTCATTCCCTGTCCTTGAAGTGAGTACAGGAGGAAAAGATTAGATTTAGGTTCTGGAAATTTCCTGATTTTTGTGGCAAACAGCAAAATCCAAACTCAAACTTACCTTGGTTTTCCTGGCACTTAGTGATACACAGCAGTTCCCCAACCCTCCCTGGCTAGAGAGCTCACTGTCAGTGCAACAAGAGACAGAGACATGCCCTTTGCAAATAAGACCATGTACACAGGTATGGGACTAATGAGTGTGGAGAATGGTTAGTGAAAGCATGACTTACATGGAGATGAGCAAATTCAGTCTGTACTCAGGGCCGGTGCAACAACTAGGCGGCCGCCGAGGGTGCCAAGATTTGAGGGCGCCAAAAAGCGGTGCCCAAAATGTCTGGGATGCTCACCCGGTGCCGGCTAAATGTGTAACCCTCTTCCTGCCGCTGTGCAAGGGGGCGCTGCGGCTTTGATAAGCTCTGGCTGGCCGGGAAGTGATGTCATTCCTCCTCTGGCCGCCGGGGACGCTGCGCTGCTCCCTGCTGCTCTGGCTCTTCCCCAGGGCCCCGCCCCAGCCCCACTCCCCTGAGCTCTGCAGCAGGGCCAGGCCTGCACTCAGAGACCCGGCCCCAGCCGCGCCGCCGGTGAGAGCTGGGGGGGTGGTTCCCCCCTGCCCTGCAAGCCAGCCATGCCCCCCCCCCCACGGAAGCCTGGGGCCCCCCCCGCTCCCACCCCCCCCCGGAGGCCTAGAGCACCACCCACCCCTCGTGGGGGGGGGGGGGCTGCGTAGGGCCTCAGAATATCTAGGGACAGCCCTGGTACCCGCCACCCTGCCCGAGGCCAGCCCCTGCTGCACCCCCTGCCCTGCCCGATGCCAGCCCCATACCCCGTCTCCAGCCAGCCCCTGCTGCACCCCCCAGCCCTGCCCGCAGCCAGCCAGCCCTGCACCCCCCCCTGTCTCCAGCCAACCCCTGCCGCACCCCCCTGCCTGAAGCCAGCCAGCCCCACAGCCTGTCAGGTTATTCATTTATTTTCATTAAATATGTAGATTAAATAATGAAATTACTAAATTTTCAAGCCGAATGTGTATGTATTCTAATGAACAATGCCACATTATGCAGTATTCATTTTTGAAAGTTTATAATAAGCGATGCTCCGGGGGGAGGTGAGGGTGGGGGTGGGGGGCACAAGGTGGAAGTTTTGCCTAGGGCGCAAAATATCCTTGCACCGGCCCTGTCTGTACTCCTGCAGGAATATGGAACGCTGCACATGGGATGGGGAGTCCTGCCATGCTCTAGCACCATCTTGGCACGCTATCAAATAAGAGACAGGTGACTTTACATTTGGTAAATTTAACTGTTCACATACGCACAAGTACAACTGGTGCATTGAACGTGACGAGAAAAGAGAATGGAAAATCTGCTAAATAGCTAAGAATAAACGTCTTATTTTAAGTCTCTCTCCACCAGTCAAGAAGGAAATTGGGTATTTTGATATCTGGGAACATTTGGATGTAGGTAAATAATAATGCTCTTTCTTATGGAAAGGAAAAGGCATAAAGAGCAGCTCTGCTCTGAACAGCAATCACAATATGTAAAAATGGTACCTTCTTACTCAAAGGTTCTGCTCCCCGTGTGCACTGAGTTCTATCTTATTGGTTTAGTGTCCAAAATAAGTTTCGCTGCTTTTTGTTTCTGTTAGCCCTACAGAGACATCATGGCTGAGAGCGAGCGAGCTGTGTTTTTTTCCTTCTTGTGCATCAACAGAATTAATGCATGGTGGGTGAGGTAATATCTTTTATTGGAACAGTTTCTGTTGGTGAGA